ATTACGCAGACATGTCTCACGGCATTACAGCCATGGACAGTGGCAGATTGGTTCAGCGGGGCGTCACCATGGGGACCTTCTCCCGCCGAAAAGTGATTTCGACAGACGCATCCAACACGGGTTTGTGGTGCGATAATTTGTCTGGAAATGCTCGCGGCTCTAGATCCAGGAATCTCTTCCTGCTGACACACCACATTCTAGTTTGGTCCCAGAGCTGCCTGCTTTTGCTCAGAGCGACGCACGTGCCGGGCCAGCTGAACGGCCAGCCAGAGGACGCGCTAGCCCAGGACTGGCCCCGCCGCCCACTCTATGCATTCCCTCTGATCTCTCTGCTACCACAGGTGATTCAGAAGATCAGGGACACACACCACTCAGTGCTCCTCATAGCCCCGTGTTGGGAGAGTCAGACTTGGTTCCCGGAGCTCACTCAGCTGTCACAGACAGCCTCGTGGCCCATTCCAGTCAGAGCAGATCTCCTCTCTCAAGCTTACGGCACAATCTGGCATCCCCACCACAGCGCTGGGAGATGCATGCATGGGTGATCAACGACTACTCGCTGATTTGCCAGAAGTAGTTTTAAACACGATCATGCACGCCAGAGCGGCTTCTAAAAGGAAGCCATCTCTGTCTAAATGGTCTGTGTTCTCCAAATGGTGCACCGACAAAAATCTGGACCCACGGTCATGTGAGGTGTCGTCTTTGGTCGTCTTCCTACAAGAGATGCTGGATAAGGGACGTCTCCATCCACCCTCAAGGTTTACGCTGCAGCTGTCGCAGCGTTCCCTGAACCCCGACGCGCTCAGTCTCTGGGCAAAGATGAATTAATCATCCGCTTCCTCAGGGAGCTAGAAGGATGAACCCTCCGCGCCCCCCCTCGGTTCCTATTTGGGATCTTTCTACAGTTCTCGAAGCTATGAAAGCCCCCCGTTCGAACAGCTCAAGTCCGTGGACCTCAAATATCTCTCGCTCAAAACGTTTTTTTTTTTATTGCACTGTCTTCAGTAAAACGTGTGGGGGACCTTCACGCGCTCTCTTCTAGCGCTGCGTGTCTTGAGTTTGGACCTAATGACTCTGTTGTCATTCTCAAACCTAGGCATGGCTATGTCCCTAAAGCGATTGATACCCCATTCAGGGCTCAGATCATTTCTCTATCGGCTCTGCCCACATCCGATAGTGAGCGAAGGGACTGGTCGCCTCAAAACAGTGGATAGTGGATGCTATTGCCTCTGTTTACGCATCTAAAAACATGCCTTGCCCTCTGGGCATCAGGGCTCATTCCACTAGAGTCATGGCCTCTTCGTGGGCATGGTCCTGCAGAATTTCCATTCATGACATTTGCGTGGCTGCGGGATGAACCCCCTGATTCCTGGAATGAGCCCTGATTTCGGTTACCTAACGTAACCTCGGTTCTCTCTAGATGAGAGAACGAGTATTGCGTTCCCGGCCGTGTTTGAGCTACTAGCGTTTTCGCTTCACTCTGAAGAAATCAACTTAATAAGCATACGAGAGCTCATTTTATACTCTATAGCCACGCCCATTCTGGCGGGCTCTGACGCAATGAGAGCGTGCCTGCTTCTCATTGGTCGCGGGCTCAGCCCTGCTCTCCCATAGGCTTAAGCAGTTCTCTGTGAGCGAACCAATGAGCTGCCAGCTAGCCCGCTCATGGTCTGCTGCAAAGGAACTGAGTTGATAATGGATACAAATTATGGAAAAATTTTTTGGCTTCAACTTCTCAGAAAAGATGAATCTTTCCCGTACCGTAAGCTAGCTTAGGCAATACTCGTTCCCTCATCTAGAGAGAACCGAGGTTACTTTAGGTAACCGATTCGTTTCCTTTCGTTGTCACTCCGAGTTTCATCAGATGCCGACAAATGTGGTTTCACTTAGAAAGCCCATTGTATTGTATGGCACAACTCCGCCCCACCTCGTGGGTATAAAGGAGGATGCTGGCAAGATGCAGATTTTTTTTTTTTTTTCAGCACTACTTCAAGCTTTTCTCTCTCAAAAAGAGCATGCGCGTGGCATGTCTTTCTAAAGATCTATCCTTGTATTACTGAGTGCGGTATTTTGATAGATTCAGCTGATGGGTGCGAGTGCTGTTTGATATGTTTGGGCTTCGTTTGTGCTCAGACAGCGCTTGTTGATGTGTCACGTTTCCCAGCGGGAACGTGACCATCGCAATGTAACGGTCGAGACTCGGTGAGCTCAATAGAGTGAGAGTCCCCTCATCCACGCCCCGATCTATTTTTCTCCACGTGAGATAATTCTTTGGCTGGTGGCCAGGGTGACCTAAAACGGCAGGTCTGGAACTAAACCAACCTAAAATCCTCGGTCCACACCCTGTCTTTCACATTGCAACCCGCTGTGTCCCGAGTGAGTTCGCTGGCCCACCCACAGTCTCATTTGGTCCCCCGGCTGATGAAATCATGTACTGTATATCGCCGCATCACAAGGTGAGCTAGAGTCCTTTGGAGATGATGGCTCGTCTGTGCTGCCATCCTCGGATGTGCTAGCATAATGAGTCTGATCCAGAATTGACAGCTATGCTTTCCTGGACCGCCGTGAGTATCGGGCTTGTGTGGAACCATCCGCCATGTCCTAAGCACTTAAGGCTGACGATTGGTTTTTGGGGAAGGCAAACCCAAATCCTTTCTACCCAGACGTGCATGAAGAGGTCCTGAGGTTTTGGGAGTCTCCATTGACATTTCGCGACTGCTCAGCTGCCTCTTCTCTCTTCTCTTCCCTCGCAGAGGCCGCGGCCAAGGGTTCACTGGGGTTCCCCCGTGGAGTGTTCTGTGGTAACACATCTGTGTCCCCACAGTGCCTCCACCTGGCATGGCGACCCTAAGCACCCATCCAATCCCTGTAGGTTTTTTGTCTACTCTGGTGACAAGGACCTATAAAGCTGCGAAGCAGGCTACTGCCTCACTGCATGTTATTGCCATCCTTCTGGGAGCTCAATGACATGGATGAGGGTAGGGCTAATTCAGGGCTCATCCAAGAGCTGCCTGCCATCACCAACCTTGCTCTACAAGCGTCGAAGGTGACCGCACGCTCCCTGAGTCAGGTGATGTCCACATGCATGGTCAGACATCTCTGGCTTAACCTGGTTGATATGCGCAAGGCTGAGTGAACCCATTGCCTCCACACCCCCATATCCCAGGCTGGCCTCTTCGGCTCTGCCAACAGTTCTCTGCTGCCCAGAAGCAGGCTGTGGCTACCAGACTTGTCTGACCCTGAGATGGGCATGGCAACACGGCATGCCCCGAGTAGCAGTTACTCCGACCTGCCATCAGACCTTCACCCTGAGGTCGAACCTCAGTTTTCTACGGGCTGGAGTGGCCCTGTAACGAGCTTCCCGGCATGTTGTTGTCTCAACAGATGCCTCCACCCCGGGCTGGGGCGCCATGTGCAATGGACATGCTGGACAGGACCCCACCGCCTATGGCATGTCAATTGCCTTGGGTTGCTGGCAGTACATCTTGCTCTGCACCGCTTCCGGGTGTTGCTCAAGGGTTTGGGACCAGTTTGGGGGCGCACAGATAGATCGGTTTGCCTTGCATTGTAATTCCGCAGACCCATGGCATTTCTTTGCCATTGGCTCATTTTGTAATAGTCAAAGTCGATAGGCTTTCTAAGCGAAACCCCATTTGTCATCATCTGATGGAACGTCTCCGTAACCGAGACGCTTTTCCATCACAGGAATAAATTACATTATAAAATATATTGAAATAAAAAACAGTTATTTTAAATTGTAATTATCACTGATCATGGAATGTCATCTCATGCTAGTCTTGTTCTGACATTATATCCTTTAGGAGACGACTATTGAAGAGCTAAAACAACAGTTTATCAAGAAACAGGATGCTAAAGGATTCATTGTGGATGGATTCCCCAGAGAGATCTCACAGACGTTCACCTTTGAGGAGCAGGTCAGATATTCCTTCAGATGGTCTATACCAAGGGAGTACAAACCTGCTCTTGGAGGTACACTGTCCTGCAGAGTTTTCTCATGGTTGCCTCAATACACCTGCCTAGAAGTTTCTAGTATGCCAAATAAGACCTTGATTTGCTAGTTCAGGTGTGTATAAATGGGGTTGGAGCTAAACTCTGCAGGACAGTGGCCTACAGGATCTATACAGTATATAACCTGTGTAATACATGTCTTAGTATGTTATGGCAATGTCTGATGTACAGTAAATGACACTCATGGTTCCTCAGATTGGCTCTCCAGACTTGGTGATCTTGCTTGCCTGCTCTAATCAGCAACTCCGGCAGCGTTTAGAGAAAAGAGCATCCCAGCAGGGCCGCCCCGATGACAATACTCGTGCAATTGAGAAGAGACTAGATACCTTCAAACACAATATCACACTCATAGCCAAGTACTACCAGGAGAGAGGACTTATTGTAAGGGTAAGATGCTGTTCTTTTCCTTTTTTATGTTCACTTTTGAAAAAACTTTTGCTGATAATTTACTCACCCCCATGTCATCCAAGATGTCCATGTCTTTCTTTCCTCATTCGAAAAGAAATTAAGATTTTTGATAAAAACATTCCAGGATTTTTCTCCATATAATGGACTTACATGGGAACCAGACGGTCCGAGGTCCAAACAACAGTTAATAACAGTTTCAGATGCAGCTTCAAATGTATTTAAACGACACCAGACGATGAATAAGGGTCTTATCATGCGAAACGATCGGTTATTTCAAAACTTATTCCAAAAATGTAACTTTTCTAAGGACAAATGCTAGCCTTGCTCTATTCTGTGAGGCGCGTTTGTAACGTCACGTAATACGTAATTACGTTCAAAAGGTCACGGGCGACGTAGCCAGAAGTACAGAGTCAGAGTGTTTACAAGTTGAACGCATAGGTTGAACGTGCAAACTAACTCAAACGGCGTTTACAAAAAAGGAATTAAAAGGTAAAACAACGATGTCGGACGATTTTGATTCTGTACTTCCGGCTACGTCGCCCGTGACCTTTTGAACGTAATTACGTATTACGTGACGTTGCAAACGCGCCTCACAGAATAGAGCAAGGCTAGCATTTGTCCTTAGAAAAGTTACATTTTTGGATTAAGTTTTGAAATAACCGATCGTTTCGCATGATAAGGCCCTTATTCTTCGTCTGGTGTCGTTTAAAGACATTTGAAGCTGCATAATGAAGTCCATTATATGGAGAAAAATCGTGGAATGTTTTCATCAAAAACCTTAATTTCTTTTCGACTGAGGAAAGAAAGACATGGACATCTTGGATGACATGGGGGTGAGTAAATATCAGCAAAAGTTTTTTCAAAAGTGAACTAATCCTTTAACTGTTGAATTCAGCTGGTTTTGAAAGCACAAACTGTTCTTATTGTAATATTGTATGTATTATTGTAAACTGTATATAGTGCTTATTTAATGAAAATAATAGTTTCCAGTGTAAGGCTGTGAAACACAATTCTTTCTCACTCTGCTTGGTCAGGTCGATGCGGATCGAGAAGAAGACGATATTTTCACAGATATTTGTGCCATTGTAGAGGAAAGATTGTTCCCTAGTGACACGAATACAGTAGGTTTTGAATGAAAGTTACACATATTCTACAATTTGTGTTTTAAAATTTTTGCTTTTGCTTCATAAAAGTTATTTTCTTCCTGCAGAGCAGTACTGAGGATCTTTAGAGGGACGTCTACACATCTAAACCCACAGTTGCTCCTATTAATCCTAAATGTAATTTAAACATTTTCCACTATATTTCATCAATTATCTCGAGGGTCAGGATCAGTGAAAAGGGACACTTACACTTATTTTGTTGCCTCTATTTGTACTTCACTGTGAATTTTCTCCGTACATCTTTTGCAGTAATGCCTTTAAAGCAGAGACCTTTGTTGTTTTGACCTGATTTTATTAATGTATATTTAGAGGTCAAGCCAGAAATAAAGAGTTGATAAAAAATGCACCAAAGTAAAATTCAGTATCAATGTCAAATGCAACAACATCAACTGTTTTCAAACAAATTACCTCACCTATTTGTACTACAACAAGCATTAAAATGGATTAAATTACAACTGATTAATACAGTGTTTCTGCTGTTCTGAGGACATGGTTTCATCTTACACCACATTATGAACGCACTGGATAAAAAAAATAATAGAGATGCAACAAACATGTCCTCAGGCTGTGTTCTCATTAATAGATGTTCAATCCAGCTGTGCCACAATCTCACAGTGGGACCTCTGTGAATATAGACATTCTGCCCTTGTTGGCAGACCTTGACCAAGTGCCAAAACGCTGTCACTTTAAATACAGAGGAGAATAGAAACATGCTTATTGAAAGATGATTCATAGTAGACTAACAAGTGGTAAAGTTAAGTATCATTTAATAGCGATACAATCTCTACACTCACTTTGCTATGTAGATGGACATTTCTGGCTAAAAAAATGAAACAACATTTAAGCCACTAGATGGCAGACTTTTATTCTTTAAAAATCATTTGTTCATTTATCCTCACTGGTTGGAAAGTTATGTCATAGCCATTTACAAAAATACTTTCTTATTCCATTTTAACAAATTAATATTTTGAATTTTTAAGTTTTGTAAAATTGATTAATAAAGAAAAAATGTTTCTTTAAAAAAATGTTTGGAAAAAAGTTTGCTTTGAGTACGCTTTAAACTAGACTTAAAGTTGTATCTTTAGTGTGCTTAAAATACTGTGTTATGAACAGCATCACTGTGACGGAGTGATGGTATGTGCTGGCTCTCAGAATAGATTCAAGCTTATCACCTGTCTGGCAAATTTCTTGCAGCTCTTAGTGGCATGAGTTGGAGATTCTTCCATGCTCAAATATATGCTTAAGGTTTGAAATGTACAACTTTGAATTATGCATCACATATGACATAAATGCACTTTGTTTTGAATGTTGTTCTTCGTGTTACATAGCCAGAACAGAATTATATCAATGAACACTAAAACCTTTACATGTTTCTCTACTCTCAAATTTCTTGAACTTCTCCTCTAGAATGGGGATAAGACTACAATGCTCCTTTAAAATAGAGTTTTTATTTGTTTGTTTTTAAAATGTTTGTATTGTGCACACTATCTTGGAAGAATAGAAGATATTTTGAGAGATGTCGAACTGCTTTTATTCCATACAATTGATGTCAATGATCAGACCAAAACTGTTTGATTACCCAGTTAGTTCACCCACAAATGAAAACTATGTTATCATTTAATAGGTTGGATAGCTTTTAAGTTGGTGTTACCTGGAAAAACTTGACATTCACCCTGTCTTTGGCATGATTGTGAAAGAAGAAGCAAAAAATAATTTTTAGACTAATCTTTTTGGTTGATCTAGTTAAAGGGATATTTTAAATGTTTAAAATATTTAAAAATTTGTCATCATATATATATATATGAATAAACAAATATTATTTTTTAGGTGAACAGTTTGTAAGCTAAAATATTTTTTTTCTGTTCTATTTAAAAACATTTAAGGAATTCGTTAATTTTACTGGGGTAAAGGGGTGGTTGGTCTGGTCTTATCTACAGGACAAAAGCATTTCAACAAGATATGAGTAACACTAACCCTAACCCAGTTCATTTCCTTATATAGTCTGCCACTATTCCAGTTCTGATAAGCCTTATCACACTCTCTGACATGTCAGTATAAAAACCCAACAGGGGCTCTTACAACACATTTCCCAGCTTTTCCCATCTCCACTCTCAGCATCGGCATTATGGCACCGAAAAAAGTTGAACCAAAGAAACCAGAGCCTAAAAAACCAGAGCCGAAGAAAGAAGAAGCCCCAGCTCCTGCCCCGGTTCCAGAGACACCCAAAGAGCCCGAGCTGGACCTGAAGAGTCTCCCGCTGGAATTTACCGCTGACCAGATCGAAGAGTTCAAGGATGCTTTTACTCTTTTTGATGAGACACCAACGGGTGAGATGAAGATAAGGTATTCCCAGTGTGGAGACGTGATGAGGGCCCTGGGTCACAACCCTACCAATGCTGACGTGCTGACCGTGCTGGGGAAGCCCAAGGCTGAAGATATGAACAGCAAATATCTGGACTTTGAGACATTTCTGCCCATGCTGCAGCATATCTCAAGAGCCAAAGACCAGGGGACATTTGAGGACTTTGTTGAGGGTCTGAGAGTCTTTGACAAAGAAGGAAATGGAACAGTGATGGGTGCTGAGCTCCGTCATGTCTTGGCAACACTTGGGGAGAAAATGACAGAAGATGAGGTGGACCGTCTGATGGCCGGACAAGAAGACGCCAACGGCTGCATTAACTACACGTCCTTCATCAAGCACATCCTCTCTGGGTGAGCTGAAGCTACAAAGATTGCTGAATGAAATTGGAACTCTAAATGGCAACTGTCAAAACACTGGAAAGAAAATATGTCTTGTCTGTATGTCTTGGAAAGTATCAAATAAAAACTATCCAAATTTGTTTCGTCTGAGATTTTTTTTTTTTTTTTTCTGTAAATCTTGTTGAGTTGTCAAATTCAGATGTTATAGAGAAGGAAGTTACAGCTTTAACTGGTTCTACAGTAGGCAATACATTTAAAAAAATAGGAGCCAGCAAAAACCAAAACTCCCAACTGTCTTTTTGGGAGTTTTGGCAAAGATACCCTTTACAAAGTATTAATTCTTAGTTTTCTAAAAGCAAGCTTATGGAACAGTTAGGGCTAACTCAAATTAGATTGGTAAAGAGATGTCAAGTCACTGGGCTTTCAGCTTGTTTGTATTTTTTTTCTTCACGTGTTTTCTTCACACTTATTTATTTATTTATTTTTTCAGTAAATGTGCGAGATTTCTGATACATTAAATGATAGTATAGGTAAATAACTAGAATAATAACAACGTGCAATTAAAATCATTATACGTCGATTAATTCAATAGGCGACTGCTTTTTTGAATGATCTTGTCAATGAATCAAAAAGATTCATTTTGTGAAGTTACCCGCTGTTTCTGCAGTTGTCTGAGGAAAAACAGTCAAAGTAACTGGTACAACTGTGTCTAAACGTCAAATTAAACACAATGCACTATTTAAATCTATTGCTGGGCATCGGTAGCCTATGACAGGTATTGTACATGATTTATCACGTAGCCCCCCAAAACCTCGGACTTATCTGAGGCCATTTAAGGCTAACTGTTGCAGTGCCACTGCCCACACGTTGATGCTAAATAGTTCTCACCAGAGCCGTTAAATATGAGAGTTGTGACACTCTCTGATCTCGCTGCTGTCAACCAGTTTGGGTGATTTTAAGCGGGACTACGGTGGCAGAGAGAGCTCACCGCGCTGCAACCTGATGAAGACGAATGCAAATACAAAAAAACGTGTGCAACTATAAAAACACGTGCAAATACAAAAAAACATCCGCAAATTAAGAAAAACATCTTCATCAGATCCACAACACACGTGTGCTCCAAGTACTCACAACACAACCAAATACAGAAACGCGCTGCAAACGTTCACAACACCACCAAATACAGAAACGCGCTGCAAGTAACACGGTCCACACGGAAATGTTTCCGGGGAACCAAATAAGTGACGGACCCAACTGGGACTTGCTTATTGCTCGTGAGCTTCCCTATGCCCTACTCCCTTCAAAGGGCAGACGGCAAAGCTCTTCAAGTGGGAATTTGGCGTGAGCATGACACCTAGTGTGTCATTTATGTAGCCGCTTGAAACTTGATGAAGGGAGCAACAACAGACAACGTAATATAATTATTTTTACCTTGGATGTTCCTATGACAACACAGCACTTTGTCAATCAGCTGTATAGCTGTTCTGACGACAGAAATATAATGATTAACATAACAGTTGCAAATAAATTATTTATTTTTTATTTTTACTTTATAAAAATCTGTTAAAATATCCGTTTTATATATCTGTATGTCAGTGCCATACATTACCTAACATTTTTAGGAAACGTTTCTCATGAAAATTTAAACATAAAATGAAACTATTTGTATAGTGTAACTGATGTATAGATTAATATCTTGCCTTCATGTTCTTCTAGATCTTTTTTTATTTATTTAGTTTAGTTTTCAGATCATTGTTCTTTTCTCATTTGTATTGTGATGACATTGAACATTGTTAACACATGTTGTATATTGTACACAAGTATGTCATAATAATTTGAATCTCAGTGTTTTGCGAGGGCAACGTCAAAAGAAATTAAATAAAACAAAGTAGAATATTGAGTAAGCAAGGAGTATAGACGAACTATAAAAAATATAATAGTATAATATTATTTATATATACAATATTATTTTAATAGTATAGTTTATTTATAAAAAAAATATAGGCTTTGACTTCTTGTCAATAAAAGTTTTTTGCTGTAAGCAAGTCCTGTGGTTCCAGTCGGGTCCGTCACTTATTCGGTTCCCCGGAAACATTTCCGTTGTGGACCGTGTTATTTGCAGCGCGTTTCTGTATTTGGTGGTGTTGTGAGTACTTGGAGCACACGTGTGTTGTGGAACTGATGAAGATGTTTTTCTTAATTTGCGGATGTCTTTTTGTATTTGCACACGTTTTTATAGTTGCACACGTTTTTTTGTATTTGCATTCGTCTTCATCAGGTTGCAGCGCGGTGAGCTCTCTCGGCCACCGTCGGTAATATTGAGGCATAATGTACATTGATTATTATGTTGACGCTAACTTTAAATACATAATAGCATTTTTTTTTTTTTACTGGGGAGTGACAGAAACAAAGCATTAATACTTTTTTTGTGTTTAATTTTGGAGGGAAATGGACTGCTCCCATAATGTAGACGTCATTAACAGCAACCACTATAATCTATAGGCCTACTTGCTGCAATGTTCGGTAAAATTTTAACTTCATAAAATGAAACTGAAGAGATAGATAATGAGTGAATTAACTATGTATAGGGTAGGCTACCATCCATAATATGTAGGCCTATGTTTTTAAGATCCAAAACTGTTAACGGGATTTATTTCAGTAATGTACCCCTTCATCCTTCCCTAATCATAGACTAAACCATTCATAAGAAAACACCCACAATCATGATGTACTGTGTTTAAATCACACATAACCATAACCCATACATACACATAATAATATATTTTGTGTGTATATATGAAGAGTTCAGATGCAAAAGCCTCTAAATGCCATTTGAAATTTTCTTCTTTAATGATAATTTTTGTAATTTTTGTCAAGCTTGTATATTTAAGTTCAGTGATTTCACTTAAATGGCAATGATAATTACCTATTAATTGTTATTTAAGTGAAATTACTGAACTTAAATATACAAGTTTGACAAAAATCATCATTAAAGAAGAAAATTTCAAATGGCATTTAGAGGCTTTTGCATCTGAACTCTTCATATATATACACACTGTATATATATCTATATATATATCTATATATATATATATATATATATATATATATATATATATATATATATATATTCTCCAAAACAGTACAGCATTTTATTTTTCATTTTATGCCAAACCATAGAGCTTTATCTACAGATCAAGTTTAATAATAGTAACATAGAATCTTGGGAATCTTGGGGAGAGTTTTATCATTGACCGTCTGTCGTAACCGAACGCGATGCGCTGTTTGAACGCTGGAGACTGACAGGGAAAGGTTTACGTGAACTTGAATTTAATGACTTAAAGGGTTAGTTCACCCAAAAATGAAAATTAAGTCATTAATTACTCACCCCCATGCTGTACCAACCACGTAAGACCTTCGTTCGTCTTCGGAACACAAATGAAGATATTTTTTATTAAATTTGAGAGCTGTATAACTACCACATTGGCTCCTAAGGGACTGCCTCTTGACGAGCAAAAAAGTCAATGAAGAAAATGTTTAAATATCCCAAGTGACTACCGTGGCTCAACTATATGTTTATCAAGCGACGCGAATACTTTTTGTGCGAAAAAACAAACAAAAATAACGAGTTTATTCGACTATTTCTTTTCTTCCTTGTAGGCCAGAACGAGAATTCCTTAGATTTCCACGACGCATGCGCGAGATTTGCGATCTGCTTACACCAGCTTAGATCGCAATTCTCGCGCATGCGTCATGGAAATCTATAAGGAAGTCTCGTTCTGGCCTACAAGGAAGAAAAGAAATAGTCGAATAAACTCGTTATTTTTGTTTGTTTTTTCGCACAAAAAGTATTCGCGTCGCTTGATAAACATATAGTTGAGCCACGGTAGTCACTTGGGATATTTAAACATTTTCTTCATTGACTTTTTTGCTCGTCAAGAGGCAGTCCCTTAGGAGCCAATGTGGTAGTTATACAGCTCTCAAATTTAATCAAAAATATCTTCATTTGTGTTCCGAAGACGAACGAAGGTCTTACAGGGTTGGTACAGCATGGGGGTGAGTAATTAATGACTTAAT